AAGCAGCGACGGCGTGCTCAGGGAGGAGGCGGGGCAGGGGTGAGCTGCCGCGGGGGAGGGTGCCACATGGTGGGGGGTGGGGAGCTGCCGCAGGGGGGTGCCTCAGGGTGGAGGGGTGGAGCTGCCGGGGGGGGGGGGGGGGGCGCCCCGGGGGGGGGGCTCGGGGGGGGGGGTGGCGCAAGGTGGAAATTTCGCCTAGGGCGCGAAACATCCTTCCACCGGCCCTGCACTTAGGGCCTGATCTAACTCCTGTTGAAGTCAACGACATTATTGGATCAAGCCCTTAAGAAGGGCCTGATGCAGGAAAACATGTTTGCAACCTTGTCAGTGGTGCAAACTGTAGCAAACCGTGGACCCTGACTTCCTGGCAGATTGCCTTATCCAGAAGTATAATGAAGCCTGCTGAAGAAAGACAATACAGTACGGAAAAGCATATTGAGGCTAGGAGCTCACTGCCTGGCCATTCCAGTCCTGTCCCTCCTTTCCTAGCTGTTCCCTCCTTTCCTTTCCCTTCATCTCCCATGCTCTGTGTGGCAGGGTGAGGAGAGTGCAAATAACCTCAAGGCTGGAAAAAATGCCCCTCGTGACACCCTCAACTGGGAGGAGTCACTAAACTCCAACGTAAGGGCAAGGTGTTTAGAAAGCAAAGCTGACAATCTTACCAGAACCCGCTAATTCTATACTTATTGGACTATCTAATTCTAATCTAAACTCCTCTTGCCCTCACACTGCCTGGATGGATCATCCACTCTAAGTCTAGATATTTATTCCTCACTGAGCATCTGAGTGTCTCTGTTAGGGATCATTGCCGCATCAGTGTAGTCAGTGGGAGCTTTGCTATTGCTTTGAATGGGAACAGGCCCTTAATCAGGAGCATTGTCTCCATTGCAGGAGTGCTCCTCAGGAGCTTTCCTCTTTTCTTCAGCATATTATGGACAAGAGTGGCCTCCCCTCTTGTGCTTTGACCTATTGGGACATGCCCTCCCTGCCCATCTTCTTAAATTGTCTCAGTCCAAGTGGTTTCTGCATGGCTCCTCTCTTCTTTTTCAGTGGCTGACTTCTGAAACAGAGCTGTTAGTAGAGAAATCTGGATTTTTTGAGGGCATGGGCCCTTTAAAATTCACCCCTAACTATAGTGAATCATAATCAGCATCCATTAGTGCCAGGGCACACTGTGCTCTGAAGTAGAAAGAGTCTCTAGGATTACATTGCTCAGAAGGCAGCAGCCTGCTTTGCAGAGATCCTACATATATTCAGCAAAAATAGTCAGATACTGTATTTTTCATATTTGCCCAGTCTTTAAAACCTACCCTATTCTTCTTCTTGTTACATTCCAGGTACAGTAACTCCCCACTTAATGTCCTCTTGCTTAACGTGGTTTCGATCTTACTTCCCTGCTCCATTACAGAACATGCTCGTATAAAGTTGTGCAGTGCTCCCCTATAATGTCGTTTGGCTGCCTGCTTTGTCCACGGCTGGGAAACACACCCCACCCAGCGCCACCCGCCCTCTGGCGGACCCCGCTGATCAGCACCATCCCCCTGCTCCCCCTGCCTCCTTCCCGCAGCAGTCAGTTTTGCGGCATTCAGGAGGCTAGGGGGAGTAGCGAGGATGTGGCGCACAGCCTTTCCCTCCCTCCCCTGCCTCCTGAACGCCGCAAACCAGCTGATTGCCGCGGGCAGGAGGCAGGGGAGGGAGTGGGGAGGCTGTGCGCCGGGTCCTCACTCCTCCCCCCCAGCCTCCTGAATGCTGTAAGACAGCTGATTGCCATGGGCAGGAGGCAGGGGGAGCAGGGGGAAGGTGCTGATCTGCGGGGTCCGCCGGCGGGCAGGAGGCACTGGCGGGGGAAGGCATAGGGGAGCTGATAGGGGTGCTGCCAGCCTGTTTAATACCTGTATTAAATTGCTTGTTTAAAATGTATATAATGTCTTTTGTCTGGCAAAAAAAAATTTCCCTGGAACCTAGCCCCCCCATTTACATTCATTCTTATGGGGAAATTGGATTCGCTAAACATCGTTTCGCTTAAAGTCACATTTTTCAGGAACATAACTACAACGTTAAGTGAAGAGTTACTGTGCTACATTTGATTGGCCATAACGTTCCTAAATGGTGGTTTCTTGTGCCCACCGTTCAAGAAGAATGTTAATAAATTGGAGAAGGTTCAGAGAAGAGCCACGAGAATGATTAAAGGATTAGAAAACCTGCCTTATTAGTGATAGACTCAAGGAACTCCATCTATTTGTCTTAACAAAAAAGAAGGTTAAGGGGTGACTTGATTGGTCTATAAGACATGGGGTAGAAATATTTAATAAATGGGCTCTTCAGTCTAGCGTAGAAAGGCATAACATGATCCAATGGCTGGAAGTTGAAGCTAGGCCAATTCAGGCTGGAAATAAGATGTAAATTTTTAACAGTGAGAGTGGTTAACCATTGGAAGAGTTTACCAAGGGTCCTAGTGGATTCGCTATCACTGAAAATTTTTAAATTAAGATTGGATGTTTTTCTAAAAGATCTGCCCAAGGAATTATTTTGGGGAAGTTCTAT